ACGATGATGATGATCGCGATAGTGATGATGATTATGATACTGATGCTGGCAATAGTGATGATGATGATCGCGATAGTGATGATTATGATGTTAATGATGATGATGTGCTGATAATAATGATGATGATAATGACGCTGGAGATAGTGAGGATGAGGATGATGATAGTGATGATAATGATGATGAAGATGATTGCGACACTGGTGATGGTGATGACTAATAATTATGACTAGTAAAAATGATGATGATGATGATAATGAAGATGGTGGTGATGCTGATGCTATTAGTATTGACCTCCTTTTCAATTAGGTTTTACCAGAGTTATAATTGTTCCTGATAAGTATTTCAAACTCTAAAGCCCACTTTGACTGTTTATATCAAGTCGACATCTTGGGTTCAACATATATACATGGATTATAAATATATTTACCTGTGAAATACCTTTCCAGTTATGTTATCAGTTGCTCTTGTCATGTTAAAATAAAACGGAGCAAGGAAAGGATAATTAGCCTCTTCTGGATTCTCCGACAAGTGATGTTCGACATAATGGAGCTGTTCACTAAATCCAACAAGTCCATCCTTTGAAATCTGAAATAAAAACCAGACAATGATTTAAAAAAAAAGAATCCATGAATTCGGAACCTTTGTGAGCAATTTGAAAGTAAGTGAATTCTATTGTATTATTTTTGAAGCACCTGAACTTACGTGAACTTCATTGTAATATTTCCCAAGGAATTTGAATCCACTATTGAAGCTGTAACTGCCAGTAGGTTCTGTAGTTGTTGGTCTCAGAATACTATCACCAGCATCTATACCATAGTCGTATAGTTGACAATCTAGAAAGGAGGTTAAATGTATTCATATCACGCACTGAAAGGCCTTCTTCCAGATCAGGAGATAAGCTCAGAAAAAAGTATATCAGTTTCCAATTGGTCCTGATAGACTTAAACTGAGTTAGCGTTGATAAAAAAGAAATTCAGTAATGTTTTAAAAATGACATTAAAAGTATATTTTAACCTTCTGGTTGCAACCTGGGGCCTCAGAGGCTCGGTACTATGTTTGATAAATAGCATATCTATGTTGGAAAATGCTCCAGTAGCCTTGAAAAGCACTTATCATGCATGAGACTATAAAACAACCCAAAATTTTCTTCATATAAAAAATTATTCACCATTGAAATAAGTAAGCACGTTGAGTGCAAACCCTTTGTTTTTAATAGCTCAATGAATGTGAGGTCTTAGTAAACTTAATAACACCCATTATGTCTATTCTTATATAGTATCCTGGATCATATGACACATAAATATTTATATATAGTGGTTGAGCGTGGGTAACTGAGTAAATCTAGCCAATTACTTTCATTTCCATTCGATATAACATAGCTTCTAAGAAAATATTTTCCCGCTTTCTGCAATTTATTTCCATATCAGTAGAGTGTCTGTGCTTTATCTTGCACATTGTTGACACCCCGTAAATATGGTCAAAAGTGAAGACGAAAGCTATGGCCTGGTCCTCCGAGGACCTGATTTGCACTTTACGTGCGTTTTGAACCCGGATGGTTAGTAAATCTGCAAATTTTCATTTAGCAACAAATTTGCGAACACAGACAGTATCATAAAGAAAATTATTTCGTATTATATTTGCAGACTGAATCAATAATGATTGGAGACAAATTGCACCTTAAAATCAATTAACTTGTTCAACTAACTAGTAGTTATACTACATCAACAGTGAGTCACAATTGATGTAAACTTGAGTAATATGTCACCAAAAAACTTTACACCAAATATTTTCCTTAATTCAACAAATGAAAATTTGAAAACAGAGGACTGTTCTATGTCCAAAATGGTATCAGGGAATTACATGCAATATTATTATCATAGGCCAAGTGCAGCATTGGGATCGAACGTCCATGATCACAACTATCATCTATTCACGTCCAGGATATCATGGGAATGATCCTTTCTGACCAAATCTCTTCACAATCTAAAAAAGGTCATACCAATAGCCCTTTCTGAATTTTTTTTACCGAAGGCATCCCTTGTGGCGTTGGTTTTTCAATAATTATCCATACCTTATGCGAACCCTTTGACGATTTCCCTTTGTACACTGAATAAACCCTACTGACTGTAAAACCTCTTGGCAATGACTATCACTGGATTAGCAATACACAATTACAACTAGATGTACTGATTCTTACTAAAAATGATGAATGTTAAATAAGGGAATATAATCTTATGGTATACTACTCCTGAGTTATTGTTAACAACGTTTCAACAATTTACATATCTTCAGGTAATAATACATGTAACTTACCTGCAGTTTGTAGAAACAGCAATAATACAATTGATTTAATAAACATTATAACAGTGTCACAACAGACTGGTAATAAAATTCATTTGTGATATTCACTTGTCTTATATAGCCATGGTTAAAAAGTGAAATGACATATTATATGACAAGAGGATGCCTTATCAAACATATGACTAAACCTAAAGTAAATAAAACCCTTACTTCCAGAAGGATGCATTATTCAATATAATTCAATGTAAAATGTAACATCATACACCAATACATATTCTGATCTATCATTGCACAAATCCTATCCGTGAGATAATCTAATGCAGAGTGCATTGGGTAGAGTTTCCTGCAGTCGAGATATTGAGCAAGCATCATGATGACCTGTATAGTGTATAGGTTTCATTTGGAGTCAGCTAGAACTCTGTCAATAATAATAATTATCAGAGACGGGATAAAGAATCAACAAATTTCGACCTCTCTCAGTAATAACCATCAAAAGTCAGATATAGAGTCACTGAGTTCATGGTAAATAATAACTATCAGAGGTCAGATATAGAGTCACTGAGTTCATGGTAAATAATAATTATCAGAGGTCAGATATAAAGTCACTGAGTTCATGGTAAATAATAACTATCAAAAGTCAGATATAGTGTCACTGAGTTCATGGTAAATAATAATTATCAGAGGTCAGATATAGAGTCACTGAGTTCATGGAAAATAATAATTATCAGAGGTCAGATATAAAGTCACTGAGTTCATGGTAAATAATAACTATCAGAGGTCAGATATAGTGTCAATGAGTTCATGGTAAATAATAACTATCAGAGGTCAGATATAGAGTCACTGAGTTCATGGTAAATAATAATTATCAGAGGTCAGATATAGAGTCACTGAGTTCGTGGTAAATAATAACTATCAGACGTTAGATATAGAGTCACTGAGTTCATGGTAAATAATAACTATCTGAGGTCAGAAATAGAGTCACTGAGTTCATGGTAAATAATAACTATCAGACGTCAGATATAGAGTCACTGAGTTCATGGTAAATAATAACTATCAGACGTCAGATATAGAGTCACTGAGTTCATGGTAAATAATAACTATCTGAGGTCAGATATAAAGTCACTGAGTTCATGGTAAATAATAACTATCAGAGGTCAGATATAGAGTCACTGAGTTCATGGTAAATAATAACTATCAGACGTCAGATATAAAGTCACTGAGTTCATGGTAAATAATAACTATCAGAGGTCAGATATAGAGTCACTGAGTTCATGGTAAATAATACCTATCAGACGTCAGATATAGAGTCACTGAGTTCATGGTAAATAATAACTATCAGAGGTCAGATATAGAGTCACTGAGTTCATGGTAAATAATAACTATCAGAGGTCAGATATAGAGTTACTGAGTTGGTGGTAAATAATAACTATCAGAGGTCAGATATAGTGTCACTGAGTTCATGGTCAATAATAACTATCAGAGGTCAGATATAGAGTCACTGAGTTCGTGGTAAATAATAACTATCAGACGTCAGATATATAACCAACAAACCCATCTCCTCATTTGTTCTACCCCGCACCTCTTTTATAGTATATAATCAAATCTACGTGTTTTTTGACTTAAATCAAATGCTACTTGAATAAAGCACGATTGGCTTTGACGAATGGTGTCGGATTATAATAGTGTTCACTTTAGTGCGTATTAGTTATATGTATTATTTTCATATTACTCAATGTATTTGAATGACATCACCGAACGTGATTACGATAAGAAAAAGCTTACTCACTGCTCAAAGAAAATCTGACTTGACCGAGGTATCAACATTATGCCTATGAATATCAAGTTTCATCAAGATTTGATAAACACTGTTACAAGCAAAATTTCGCTTAGTCAAAGGCAATCTCTCAAAAACCGTTCATCCAATGCTTATCAAATTTGAACTTGACTGAGATCTCATCAATACATTCGTTCATCTATACGAAAAACTTATCTTGTATTTAAGGACAGAGGTGACGACAAAATATAGAAATATGCCATAATAATATAGAAAAGACATGTATAGAAATAGAAAGTGAAATTCCTTGTTTGAGGTATTTTTGAATAAAAATGTGCGTTTTCCATTTCTAGTACTTGTGAAGACTATTTACATATATTAAAGACCCATATCAACCTCCGAAAATGGCGAAACTGTCCCTTCAACAAAGATGATCTAACCATTTAAATGTAATTCTAAAAGTTTTTCAAACAAGCCGTGACTTGATATTCTGTTTTGAATTCAAGTTTGAATTATCTAAAATGATGTAGGAGAGTAAGGTAAGGTTACAGTTTGGTTAAGGGATTATTCTACTCGGTATTTATTTAATCTAATAAATTGTATATCATTTACGAGTGAATCGAAAAACAAACATATTGATGTATATTCATCACTATTTGTGATTTGATCACGTCCCTAAAGATCTGTAGACTAGATTTGTCAACGTGTTACCTTTGTGAAGTGTCCACACGTGCTATATCAGTGCTTCTCAATCTAATTGAGATTATACCTTCCCAGAAGAAATCTAATCAGATGCATTATTCAATAGGCCTTCGTTACCTTATTTTGCATTTGAGAGAATCCATTTGAGAAATCTCCTAAAAACGATTAGGGACCATTGTGAAAAACATTTGGAAGCTGGTGTATCTTTTATTACCTCCCTTGAATCATAATTTTGCAGATGTTCCAGATGATACGGTGGTCATTTCTCAGATTTTAAGAGATATTCCACGCGATTCTGAGAAAACTTTCTGACAGATGGTCAGATATTATATGAACTGTGCCAGATTTTTTTTGGAGACCATTTAATGCTTGAATTCCCGCAAGGATATCTCGTTGATCAGCATTCTCACGTAAAAATAAAATACTTGTTCGGGCTTACAAAATTCAACACACCAACAACCACCCCCTTTACACTTCGACACTTTTACACATACTGATCCCCTTCGTCTCTTGTTTAATAGCCCTCGTCCGATAGTTCTACAGATACGTCTGTCAATCAATGAAAGATATCAGGATAACAATAAAACATCACAGTGGGTTGTTCACTATATTATTCTGGTCTTTACGGTTTGTTTACATTTACATATGATTCAATGATCATGTTTTTGTTGTAATCACTCTTGACCTTCTATTATTGACAGATATCTATTGATTTGATCCGAAATATATTGATAGTATTGAAGGAGACTCTTCATTATCAAATAAATATTTTGAACTGAAATGTCCCAATTTTTGTGTGATATGTCCTTTTGGCATCTTGATCGGGTGCATGTCGGATTGAAGTCGGAGATGCTACGTTTACAGCTACAGTGCAGTCCATGCATACCTTGACTTCAGTGGCGGAGCCAGGTTAACCGAATAACCCCCCTTGCCCCCTTTGGTTCCGCCATCGCTTGACTTGCTGTTAATTTTCAATTCAATGATCCGGAATGGCAAGTGTTCTCTCTGTTTTTTTTCCAACTATAGCTACCTGTGGTTTTAAATTTTCAATTTCAATAAGTAATGAAAGCAGAATTTATGACTTCTCTTGGGCAAATGGACCAATGTGCACCAACTCACCCCTACTACCAGATACCTAGCTGAGCTGATATCGATGAAGTATTATGCTTTAGGTATAAACGGTGCGTATCTAACCACACCACGCCTCTTTAAGCCGAGAATGATAAAGATATGATAGTTGATGATGACTGACACTGTATGTTAAATAAATGAGTTAGAAATTAAGCGAAACATTTGAAAATGTGTTGAAACCATTAAACAAAAGTTTACAAATTATTACATTCTTGACATATCTTTTATTTTCATTTTTCTGTTACTCTTTCGTTACTGTTTTAAGTGTTTCTGGAGGTGCAGGCGGTGCAGATTCTAATTATTTCTAACAGGTCTTCCAGCTTGTATGTACTCAGCATCTTAATTGACAAAGGTTATTCTAATGCAGTTATAACTCGTATCGGATAAGTATTCATAAGAATAACTATATGTATTTGGACTGTATACGAGCAAAACAGCTGGATTGACCTAGCTAATGTGCTTATGTACATGAAGTCAAAATACTTTCTTCAAATTTCAGAATTATTCGGATCACAAACAGGACAAATTAGTTAAATTGGTGGGATTTTTAAACTTTTGATCGGAGTTACCTTGAATCAAACACTTGTCACTTGGGGTTTGTTTTGCCAACAATCACGTAGGGAAAATATTCACCAAAATGATTCGACCCTATATCCGAAACACATTCCAATACCATTTATTAAACATTGTCCTAACCATAAGATGTTTTCCAAATAATACCAAGCTGGACTTCAATTTTCTACTAAAAGGAAACAAGTATTTAACTTATCAACCTAGTTAGTCAAGCGAGTGTAAAAAGGAAATTAAGCGTGTAGTTGGAGATGTTAAATAGCTGTATAGATTGACGTGTGTTTTTATGACTTTACCAATCTTTAACAATAAACCATACTTTAGATATTAATTAAAATACCAGTCAAAATGGTTAAGTATTTGTTATGCATACCACATGTAATTTGTCAACGAGTTATCCCTCTTTTGATTTTTTAACTTCTATTAAAAATTTAAATATTTAAACGAATTGTTGATTCTGGAAATTTGCTGATGAATCCTACCTTACTGCGCTAGTAACGTATATACACCGCAGATTATAAAACGCAAGTAGCAGAGAAAAAGTATCTGTGGTTCATATACGCTACTGGTGGTGATAACGATCACGATCGGGTGTTTATAGAGGTATTTTAAACCAGTGTAAGATTACCTAGAAAACTATGAATATTCGGCTCTGCTCCAACCAATTACAAGTTTATTTGAAGTTTTGTCTTATTCGCTAGCTGCATTTCTGTATTTGGCTTTTGTCCTTATGTGTTGGTATGAAACCGCATTAATATAACAACATTGTTCAAACATGATCACGGTTGTAGCCTTGATCTACTTATCCAGTATTGTGGTTCGACCTATCTAAAATTATTCAAGTTTCTTCAAGTGATCAGACAGAAATCCTGTTTTTAAGGTGATCAAATGAAGAACAAAT